GTTTTCTGACTTTTTCAGCTACAGCCCTCATGACTTCCACAGATTATCTTCCCACCCTTGGGAATGCTAGAGAAATTAGAAAAAACATGTCCTCCAAAGTGAGTAAGAAATACCAGCCTCTTCCAGAGAGTGAGTGCAATTAAAGATAAGAAATTAAAGAAGTTTGCGGACTCAGACAAGTCTGAGCTTTCCTTGCATTTAGCCATTTCCTAATTTGCAGGAATCATTAACTTGTAGAAGCACTTGCCCCTCCAGAAAGCTTTGTGTGTGTCATTAGTGCCGCCTAAGAGATCACGGGGACTTTGTGAAACCTGCTTCTCGAGAAAATTCAGATCATATCTAAGGAAGGTTTTTATTCTTTGTCCAATTTATCATGACCACTTAAATTTCAAATTGCAGTTATTGAAACATTTAAAGAATTTTCTATGCAGGTGCCAATCATCAAATGGCTTTTTTTTTTGCTGTGAGCAGAGGTTATCCAAGTGTCCAGAAAAAGGAAATATTGGGGCAACTGCAAACACTGAATCTAAAAACAATGATGATTTGATGGAAATTTCAGTGTCCTCGAAATCTGAAAATATTCTTATCTTTTTGAACCAGCATTTTTACCTCTAGTATTACCTGAACATACTGGCAAAAATATGGGTGCAAGAATATTCCCTGAAGTTTTACTATCAATAGCAGAAAACAAAAACCCAATGACAACAACAACAAAAACCACCGTAAAGTTCATCCATAGTAGCATACCATGTCCATCGTCCTGTGCAATGCGAGGCAGCTGACATGAACTAGGAGATAGAATAACGGTTAATAACGGGGAAAAAACTAAAATTGGTTGGGGAGAGCATTTGCAAGACAGTGTTTATTATGAGACCACTTTTGCAAAAATATTAATGATACTCAAAATGGAAGAAGAAGAAAGTAAGGCTTGTATACAGAGAAGAAAACCAGTTGGTGGTCTGTGTGCAGCACCATTGCTCATTTTTCGTTGAGGTGTGAGATTACAGAGAACATGCACTTTCAGTGATGTATTTATTCATTTCACAGATACTTTATTAGACGTCTGCTTCATACCAGCTGTATTTCAGGTGCTGAGGATCCACATAAAACTTAGAGACGACAAAAAAATCTTCAAATAAGTAGATTCACATTTGAATTTTGAATAAACCAAGTCTATTATTATGAATAATGAGACATATTTAAGGTAAAAAGATAGGAGACCATGACCAAAGAAAAGGGGAGGCAGAGCCTGGGAATGTCAGTGGGCTTTCCTATCATGGAGGTAAAAGGCTGGTAACCAAATAAAACCAATGGAATAGACCTAATTTTAGGTCTGTCAGTCTAACAGTCCCCAGGATTTGAGCCATGATGTAAGGGCTTGTCTTCTAGGCCAGATATTATTTTTGGTTGATCACTTGTTTGTGGGTGGAAATTGAATTTAGTAACTGGTTCTTGTACTTTTCACAGACACTTATTTAAACAAAAATGTAGATTCTTTCCTGCTCCCTTTATTATATTAACCTTACTACTATGAAAAGCTCCTCATAGAAAAAATTATATTAGCATTTGTTCTTTTTACATTGAGAAAATTCTGAATTCTCAAATGAAACAGGTTAATTCCTTTTTTATAAAATCATTGGTAAGGTGCTAATAAAGGCCGGTTGGAATTTTTCAGTTTTCATTAATAATAATTGTTTTAGTATAAACTGCAAATTTCACACTGTTCAGAATTGTCTGGGAGAATTTAGTAACATGCTCAGAAATAACTTTTGTTCAAGACCTTACCGATCAGGGTTTCTTTTGGTATTTGAGCACAATCTTTAACATGCTGCAATTATAAGTCTTTAAAATTCAATTGAAACTGGCAGAGAAGCAACTGAATCTCTTAACTTTTTATATTAAAAGCATTATTTCAAAATTTTATACATAGTGTTTATTTATTCAGTAAAATTCAATAAGTTTCTGCTGAGGGCCTTCTCTGTACTTGACATATCAATGAATATGGTATAGACTCTGGACTCAAAAACTCTTAATCTAAACAGACACACAGTGAGGTAAACAGGAAAACAATACAAGTGTTTGGGGGTGTTATTTATAAATGTGTATGGAGTGATTCAGTGTTTCTTACCACTGATGGATATGGCCTGTACTTATCTAACCAAGGAGTCCCTGAAAAGCAGAATTAAACAGCCAGTAATCTCTTCTATACTGAAGTATAGTGGGACAGGGTCCCTTACAGGAGCAGTGAGAATCTTCAGGCTAAATTGCTGCAAATTCAGCACCTCTTTCTCTGCAGGCTCCCTCGAAGTTGCCTCAGTGATTAAGAAATGCTTGATCTTGCCAATTATGTGTGCCATGAAGTTCTCATTTTTCCAGCTTTGCTTTTCTCAGAACCAGATGCAGATAACGAGCAGTTATTTCTTGTTAGGAGAATACAAGTAGAAAATAAAAGGCCTCTTTAAAATAAAAAAGTGGATCATCAGGGAGGTGTGTATATGTGATTATGGATGAATGAGGAAGAGCTGATCTGCTGTGTGCCACCTTCTGAAGATATTTGAACAGTTTCTGTTTTGTTTTTGTACACACACACACACACACACACACACACACGACTATCCAAGTATATGTACACATCATATTGAAATATATGTACATGGGTATCCCCTCTCTTTTAAAAAAATATTTTTATTGATTTTTAGGGAGAGAGGAAGGGAGAGGGAGAGAGAGAAACATCGATATGAAACAAAAACATGGATCGGCTGCCTCCTGCATGCCTCCCTATAGGGGATTGATCCCACAACTCCCCTATGTGCCCTGATGCGGAATTGAACCTGCAACCCTCGGTGCCCGGCCACCAACCAACTGAGCCACATCAGCCAGGGTGCATGGATATCCCCTCTTATAATTCAAATCTTCAGTATGAGAGGAACATTGATCAGTTGCCTCTTGCCTGGGGATTGAATCAGGAATTTAACCAGCAAACTTTCAGTGCACAGGGCGACGCTCCAAACAACTGAGCCACACCGGCCAGGGCAACTTTTTTTTTCTTTACCCCTTAAAAGAGAAGTGCACAATGATAACTCCACAGATTCTTACAGGGGCCAAGTCCATTAGCCCAACCACCCTGGTAGGAATGGACCATGAAGCTGCCTGTTCTACAGCTGAGGAGATGAGAGCTCAGACAGGCCGAGCAGCTTCACCAGTTCCACAAGCATTCACTGAGAAACGATTCCTTGGACTCACTTTCTCTCTTAAATGGCCTTCACCTCAAAATGGACTTGCCAGTTCTCATTTACTTCCTTCAGAGGCAAAAACAAGACACTCCATTGCTTATTTAGTAAATAGAGATTTCCTAAACGAGCAGTATGAGTAGATACGGAGTTTTTGCACACACCACTTCTGATCTCTAAATCCTGAATTTATATCCTGTGTCAACAGCTGTGGTGCTGTGGTCACCTGGGTTCACAGTCTGGGCTTTTATTCTGCCCTGCTGCTCCTAGTGCCTTTTCTACACCCAAATACTTCTTGAAATTACAGATCAAAAAAACAAACACCTCACCATGTTTGAAAAGGTTAGACTGCTTTTATTTACAGCATCTCAAGTTTCAAAGACAGGATCCATGCACAGTAAACAAGCACATTTCCTACCTCTGATATAATTTGATTGAGTTTACGTTCATAGATCCCTTTTTAGAGCCGTCACTTTATAAAATGCAACTTGGCTCTGCATATCTTGCCTTATGACGTCAGCTCTCTGAGGCCTCCAGTATTACCACAGGCTGGTCTTTTGTTTAACCCCTACCCCCACCCCAACCAGAGGAAGATAAAATGTTTGACTGTCATATTGGTGTCTGTGTGCTCCAGGTGGGAGAGTTCAGAGCCCATGCTGCTGAGTGGACGGCCAACGTCACGGCTGAGTTCAAGGAAACCAGGAGGCGGCTGAGCGTGGAGATCTATGACAAGTTCCAGCGCGCCACCTCCATTAAGCGGAAGCTGTCCGCAGAACTGGCCGGGAACCACAGCCAGGAGCTGACCCCTTGCAGGAGGACCCTGTCTGTGAACCACCTCGCCAGCGAGAGGGACGTCCTGCCTCCCTTACTGAAAACTGAAAGCATCTATTTGAACGGATTGACGCCACACTGTGCAGGGGAGGAAATTGCTGTCATTGAAAATATTAAATAGCCCTCTCTTTGGAGAGCCTTAGGCATAGCCATAGGTGAGGACTCCTAGATGCTCTTTAAGACTGTTGCTGGTAGCATTTTTTTAAATTGTGCATGAACTCCAAAGGGGGGGGAAATAGAGACACCCATCACGGTCATCTGCCATCCAGAGGATTTGGAATTCTGAGCCAGCACTATCTTCTTGATGATGCTTGTTGAATGGTCCACTTTCTTTGACCAGTGGAATACAACAAGCAGTGTCTGATGCCTTTCTGTGCCCAGACTGTTTTTCTTCCTTTCTCCTAATGTGCCATGAGGCTTCAGAATGAATTATCATTGTTTCTGGTAGGAATGTAGCTTTGAGGGATGAGTCCTTAACTTTTCAGGGTCTACCTAACTGAGCCTAGATACGGACCACTTATGGATGACAACATTTCTTTTTGTAAATGGCAAGAGAATCTTATGCAGCCTTTTACCTAAGAAATTTTCTGTCAGTGCCTTAACTTATGAAGAAACAGAACCTCTCTAGTTAATATGTGGTTTCTCCTTCCCCGCCCCACCCCTAGGCTCACCTGCAGTCCTTTACCCACGACTCCCATTTGAATACCATACCTTGCTGGAAACTGTGTGTAAACTGACTGAAGTGGTGATGCCCGAAGAAGGAATAGATGCCAAATTAGATGGACATTGAAGCAACACTCAGAAACCCTAGTGTAAAAGGCACTGCACAGAAATGAGGTGCACCGATGGCCCCTCTGAGTATTTATTTGTCTCAGGTACCAATGGTACATATATATACAGTGTAATTATTACCAGGCCGGTGAAATTGGCAGTCTCCAGTTTTTTCCTGGCAGTATTTGGAATTTATCATTTATTAATAACTACATTTTTAAAGGTGGAAGAAGAAAATATATATGATCTGACAGAAGAAAACTGTTAAAAATAGATATTATTGGAGGCAATTCGAGACAATTGGTGTGAATTACCATTCTGATGAAAAGAAGGTAGCCAAACAATGTGTTATGAGCATTTGCTAATAAACGTTACACTGCCAGCATCGATTTGCTTTTTGGTGTATAAAAAAGGCTTATGTGATTTTCTTTCTTTGGGTGACTTTTGCCAGTCGAGGGGAGGCGACCAAGCAGGCAGGGCTGGGCTGGGCGCAGGCCTAGCCTCCCGTGGGTGTACCTCTGGAGCTGTGACTGAAGTTGAAACTGGGATCACTGTGATTTTGCGCAAGGAGAATGCAGATTGCAGGCATAATTCATCTCTGACGTTAGAGGAAAAGCTGTTATAGCACAATTTAAATCTTGAGAGCTTTTTTGTTTGTTTGTTTGTTTAGATAGAAAAGGCCGGTAATCCTTATTAGTTTAATTTTATAGCGTGTAATTCTTTGGATGTTTCCAAAATTCAAAAGAAATTCAGTAAAGGCACCCAATAGATTGCTACTCTTTCTTTTATTTTCATACTCAGATCTGCTGTACATTGTATATATAATTTTTGAAAATGCAGAAAGAAAATGATGTCACTAAATATAATTGCAAAACATTTCTTTTACTGTTGCGGGGCATATCTAAATAAGTGGTATTCATATTAGAGTCTTAATAATAAACCCAGGATCTTAAAAAAAAGAAACTTAATAGATGCTTATTTTCCAAAATTTAAATTTAAGCTAAAAATGTAAATATTCAGTTAACTTGTTAAAGGTACTTTTATAAACTTTAAAAAAATTCTAACTGAAATTTTAGAAGGTCAGGCTCTTTGAGAAAGAAAGCTACACCCATTTCCTCAGTAACTGTTCTGAACGTTGATATGGTGGACTGCACCATGTATAAACTGTGAATTGTATTGACAAATAAAGTTTGTAATTAAAGTCAGCGTTTTCTGAGTCTCCTGCTTGCTGCTGAGAATTGAAGCCTGGTTCTGACTAAGGAGAACCACGGGATGTCGCTTTCCGTGCTGAGTTTTCTGTGGCTCCTTCATTGAAAAATTTCAATAAATATTTTTGAAGCAGTATCACTACCCTGGTTAAATACATGCCGAATGTTCTTCTTGATGGCTGTTCCTCACAAGTAGAAACCCTGAAATTTCATTTTTGAAGTATTTTAAATAGCATCTAAGTTCCAGATTGTTTTTAAATTATGACATATCAGTATCTTATTTTATTGTTGTTAGACTTTGTCTTGACACTGAAATAATCTGAATGCCGCTCAGAGGCACCTGAATGCTTTTCGTAAGAAAGACTAACATCCTGGTAGCGCTGAAGCTTAAAGAAGGTCCTTGCCAATCTATCTCCTAGACTTCATACCCCAAATATTTGGACTACATACCTTGTCGATATCTTATGTACATTTACTTATTCATTCCCAAGCAGTTCGATACTCAGTAAATATCTTAAAACTGGTCCTCAGCATTATCCTTAGGTTGGGGGAAAATCTAAAAATGCATGAATATTGTTTTCATGCTTTATTTTGTTTACTTCTTGTAGAGAACACTGATAATGATTTTGACACAGTCTGGAGTTTTCTAGTGAGCTTGTTTTTTTTTTTACTGGATCAGTTTAAGAGTGAGTACTTTTGCCCCAAAGGATGTTTGAAAAAAAAGTTAAGTACTAGAATCAGCAAAGGTAGGAACTCTCTGATCTGAAGCCTCAGACATGGATTCTAGACAAGGTTCCACCCACCTTACAACTACTAAACCTTAAAAGTGGTTATTTTGGAGTTCTTCCCATTTATTACATAAATCTATATACTTTGCTACATAGTTCATGTCACACACTCTGTTTTTCAATAATATTTCACTCTCACAATACAGAAAAGAGTGAAACTTCTAACGCCAAGAGGGAATTGAATAATTTGTGTCTTGGCCTTCAAAAAACATGAAAAACAAAAACAAGGGGGGAGTGGGTAGGGCTTTGTTTCTTTCTCAAATTCTAAGGAACATGTGACACATAGAAAAGACCAACTCCCACCTCAGTTTGTGTAAAAAATCTGTAGAATTCTTTGATTCTTAAGGTTAGAAGTTCAAACAGAGTAAAGGAAATTTTAGGAAGAATACTAAAAAAAATTTAGACATTCTGAAGATGTGAGATAAGTATTTATGCCTAAGAACTGGAGGCCCAGATCAACTATTTTGTTTTCCTTTTTAAAAATATGTTTGCTGTTCTAGTAAAATCAGAACTTATTTGTGGTTTGCATTCCTTATTAATGTGTGAGTATAAATTTGCTTTTGTGTGAAGTAAGAAATGTCTCTATTTGAATACTCATAACTCCATTAAAATTAATATATGAATTTGCCTTCAGTGAGTTTACTGTAAATGTCCTTTTATAGTGAAACTTACTGACCTTGCACATGCTCATGTGTTGGTTCCAAGATCTCATGGACCAGCATGATTACTTTTTAAAAAATATATGTTTTATTGCTCTTTTTTTTTTTTAGAGAGAAAGAGGAAGGGAGAGGGAGAGAGAGAAATATCTATCAGCTGCCTCCTGCATGCACCCTGCTGGGGATCGAACCCCAAACCCGGGCATGTGCCTTGACCGGAATGGAACTGGAGACTTTTTGGTGCATGGGAATATGCTCAACCAACTGAGCTGCACAGGCCAGGGCAAAAAGGATATAAAATCAGCTACCTTTATAATATACTTTATAAAACCTTGTTTCTTTCCCTTAGGTCATGATTAGAGAGCTGTTCATCACTCTTCTTATGTGATTATCTGTCTTTCCAGTAGAATGTAATTCATTGGTTTTAACTTACTATGTTATTTCCAGATACCAGCAAAATGCATATAGTTAGATGATCAAAAAATACTTGGTGAACAAATGAATGAAAAGGAAAACGGGTTTAATTACTGTAGCCATCCGAAGGACCTTTGCGTATGCATATCCCAAATTATCTCAGTCCCACAAACATGTATCTGTCCCCTTCTGCTGGCTTATAGTAAATAGGATACAAGCAGCAATTATTTCTCCTATTAGCTGACAAAAAAGTGAGCCAAGTCTTTCACTAGACAGACTTGCAGTTTATTTGTCACTCCTACTCCTTATAAGCAAGGGTTTCATTATTTTTGTTTCTCAAATTTTGACAGATACTATCAGAGCTTTTTGAGTATAATATAATCTTGAAAATTTGTTTAGAAATCAATTGCAAAACAAATTTGCTAATAGTAGTAAGTGGATGCCTTTTATTAGAAGGAAGCAAAATGCACATTTATTATCCTTGCCAAATAAAATGTAGCTTTTTCACGCTTAAATTTATAAGCAGTCTGGGAAGAAATCCATTATTAGGCACATTTTGAACTGTATCCAACAGAGAATGTTAGTCATTTACATGGTATAATTTTGAAATTAACTCATAGAATAAACATTGGTTTTCATTCAGTTTATGCCTGACATTGTAGATGTATCCCTTTTCACACTGTCCCATTAATACAGAACAATCTGTAGATGATTTTTATCGTACCATCTCTTTTGTTTTAAAAACATTTTAGATTTTTAAATATTATTTCATTAGATTGTATATTTCTGTATTTTTATTAAAAATTTTAAACAAGCATCAGTAAGTGGCAACAATAAAGATAAAAACACTTTAAAAAAAAGTATTTTCCACTGGAAGCTATCAAATTAGAAAAAAAGAAAAAAGAAAATCACATCTAACTTTATAAAATACTAATTTCTAAAACTGTAAATATATTTAAATGTGCCTGAGTATAAAGTTGATAACTGCCTTCAAATCTTTTTAACTTGAAAAAGAGCAAATTACATTTATCAATAAATATATAATGAAAAAAATAAGTAAAATTCAGAGACAGATTAATAATCATATTAAACATTTTGAAACAAAATCAAAACATGGATAACAATGTTAGAATGGAACAATAGTAGGCTGAATAATGCCCATCCCCTGGAACTCTGTGAATGAGCTACTATATATGATAAAAGGGACTTTGCTTATATGATTAAGTTAATGGTTTTGAGGTTATCCTGGATTTCCTGGGTGGGCCCAATGTAATCACAAGGGTCTTTTAAGAGAGCAGGCGGAGAATCGGTCAGTAGTAGGAGATGTGACAATAAAAACAAGAGGTTGGAGTGATGGGAGGAAGGGATCTCAAGCTAAGGAATGTAGATGGCTCTAGAAAAAGATAAGAAAATGAATTATCCTTTAAAGCCTCCAGAAGGAAAGCATCCTTGCTAACACCTTGATTTTAGATTTCTGACCTACACAACGGTGAGAGAATACATTTTTTAAACCTCTAATGAAAAAAAAATTAAAACAAGCACCAGTAAGTGGCAATGACTGGACCAGACTCAAATTTTACCACACCCAAGTAGTTCAGAGCTGAAGGGTAATAGCACCAAGATACTGCCAAGAAATCTAACTAACCCATCCTGTTTCTCAGTCAGGTGCCCAGTTCAGAGTTTACACGTGCACTGAGGAAGGCGACTCTAATGTCGCCAAGGTCTCGATATGTACAAGCAGATTCGCCAAGTGTATGAGTCTCTTCCATGATTACGCTGCATGTACAAGCAAATGGTTCACCAAGTCAATATTTTTGGAGAGCCTTTAATGTGTCAGTCACTGGAAATATTAAGAAGCCAAATAAGCATCTGCTGTCTAGGAGACAGCAGGCAGGGGTGGGACAGTGACATGCGGCACCAATGAAGATTCTGCTCAGTGCTGAGGAGCCCTGAACAAAAGGCTCTTGCCTTTGTATGTATGGGGAGACTGAGGCAGAAGGAAACGGGGAAGGGCTAGCAGTAGAAAGTTACTGAGTCAGGGTGGGGGAAAGTGCCTCAACTGAGCCCCAGTAAGGAGGCTTCCGAATGGAGGCCCCTGTGTCTGAGCTCTGGCCTGCAGCTCGGTCCAGAAAATCCCAGTGTGTTGCCTGTGGGAAGGACAGTTTCCCCCATGACGCCAGTTTCCCCCATGAAATGCCTATGGTTGGGCCTGAAAGATCACCCATTGGATCTTGGCCTGGAGTGATCTCAAACTTTAAAAGAGGCAGTAATGTGAATAGATCTGTGCTTTTAGAATAACCACTGGTGAAACTGTGCAATAGATGCTGAGGGAAAAGATGAGATGCATGGCAGAAAGTCAGAGGACCTGTGGGGTCCCTGAGAGAGGGATTTGGGTCTGAACCATAGCAGGGCACTGGGGAGATGCCGGTGCCTCGTGCTAGCATTAGGGGCATGGGCTACAGGAAAAGGGGAGAAAGTTTGAGGGAGAGACTGATGTTTTGAATTTAAGACACCAGAATTGCTGACTGAGGCTCTGTGTTGAAGGCAACTATAGACATTATATACTGGAGTAGAAAGTTGGGTCCATGGCGGAGAGAAATAAAATTAATACATTTTTATAAACAGAGGTGACGCCTGGCTGGGGTGGCTCAATTGGTTGCAGCATTGTTCCATACACCAAAGGGTGGCGGGTTCGATTCCCAGTCAGGGCACATACCCCAGCTGCGTGTTCAACTCCAGTTAGGGCACATGTGGGAGGCAACTGACCACTGTTTCTCTCTCACATCAAAGTTTCTCTCTCTCTCCCTCTCTCTAAAATAAATTATATATATATACACATACACACACACACACACACACACAGTGTCCCAAAAAAGAATGCACATTATAAAGGCAGTGTTTATTAAAATACATTTCATTTTGAAAATGTAATAGATGAAAAATGAAACATTTTCAGTTCAGCCCCCAAATTTGTTCAAATCAAGGGAATGAAACCAATGAACGAGGAGAGGTAGGTAAGTTGCCTGCAGTGCCTTCTGAATGGGCTTGACTTAATTCAAGCGCTAAACAGAGAGCTCTCATGATTAGATTAAGTGCACTCGAAGCCATTTTTGACGTTGTGGTCTGAAATTCTTACATG